TATATATATATATATATACATACATGTATGCGTGCGAGCGTGCGTGCATGTGTATAGTGTATATAGTGTATTCATATAATGTTTATATTATTTCATATGATATTTATTTTTATAGCTGCGCTCATGAAATATATGAAGTGCATTACCGAACTAGAATTTGAGACCAAGCCGAATTATTCTTATTTACGGAATTTATTTCTACGTAGTGGCAGTCAAGATGGCAATATTCCTATATGTCTTTATAACATGAAAGAGTCAAATGAAAATCTTACAAGCTCTATATTTTTTGAGCGTCCATATTTAAGAGAAAGGAAACCTTGTAGACCTGTAAACGGCGAGGTAAAAATTTGCTCAAGTTTTAAGTGTCTGCTAATAAAAATACTTAAATTTACATACGTGCGTATGCACACACGCGCGCGCGAAGTATAGATTATTACTTTAATATTAATTGTTCTAGATACGAATAACACGAAATACTCAGCCTAAGCAACCAGTTCAGAAAAAAGAATTTAGTTGGGAAGCAGTATTAGCATTACATCCAGACAAACTTGCAAAAATCAGTACTCAACTGCCATCTTCGCCTCTCACACCGCCTCTTACACCACCATCGTCCACATCCCCGCGGCCACCGTCTCTGCCGACATATGCAATGTTAGATGTACTTCGTAAAATGAAGGAGAGACAATCAGGTTCATTTAGGCATAAAGCAATACCGAAATCATCAGAGTAAGTATCCACTTTTGTAATATATACATATATATAGGTATATATATTTTTATGTATATAATACACGTGCGCGCGCGCGCGCGCGCGCACACACACACACACACACACACACAAGCATTTTGATTGTTTTAATATGTGATTTTTCGATTCTTAGTAATGAACTCAAACCAAAATGGATGACACCCGCAATGGAAGAAGTTGCGCGATTAAGGAAAAAAATGACTGAAGTGTCCATTTCTGTAACCGACTCCCAAAATAGTTCGCGCGTGACACGTTCACGTGTGGCAAAGAGAAAACGTAAGATTTCACACACACACACACACACACGCGCACACACGCGCACACATACACACACACACACACTCACACACGTAAGCATCTACATATAGATCTATCACTACTGCACTTTTAATCATAGTGTCATATTTAAGTATTAATGTATTACGAACTAAATTATTTATTAAATATTGTCAACTTTAGCGAATTATTATTGATCAATTAGTTGTCTTTTACACTGATTGCAGAATGATCAATTGCAAAGAATCTCACTTTATTACTCATATAAATTAAAAAATTAAACTAAATTTGAAAAATATTGCTGGCATTTTCTGTTGCAGAAAATAAATATTATTTTTATAAATCTGTTTTATAAACATTTGAAAAATTTGTTATTATAAATTGATGCAATAGTGATGAACTACCATATGTATACTTCTTAATTTAGATATGTACATTTGATGATATATTTGCATATTATAGAATCTGGCGCTCAGGAGCAACATAAAGAAATAAAGGATGATTCAACCAATAGCAAGGTTACACATAAAAGAAGGAAAATTTCATCTTGTTAAAGAAAGTTGGATCCTATTAAGAGACACGGTAGTGTCTCGCGTCAAGTATATCCGCCCATACTGGGCGTAGGAGACACTACAATGCACCTTAACTCGAACGTCGAATTGATCGAAATTAGTATTACAAAGACCTCTGACAATGATCATCGGCATTCACAGCAAATATTAAGTATTATTTGATAAAATCTCATCCATTAATGATGTTATAGATATACATCGCGCCAATTTATTTAAGACTGCTTCATTATTGTATTATTTGCTCTTTGATAACTTTATCTGGTACATATAGAATTCTAAGTAGTTGTATAGCGAACAAAATAGTGGTATTAATGAATAAATACTTTCTTTTATGAAAGGCAGAGATTCAATAGAATTAATGTGTTTATATAGAAATATTGATTTTGCAAATGTCGTAATATTTTTTAAAGATGCAGTGATTTAAGATTTAATTGATTTAATTGATTGTACAAATAAATTGCAATTTAATTGTTAAATTTTGAATTTATTTAATTTTGTGCAGTGTAATGGGAGTAATATATTAAAATCTATCAGATTGATCAATATTTCAGCTACATATGATTTGAATTGGACATACAATAATTGATTTAATCGATGATCTAATAATAGCAGGCAGTTGTAAAATTTATTATATTCCCATCTTTTTTCTTAAAAGATATAATTTCAGAAGCAAAAATAAATTTGCACAAAATAGAAAAAATAACTATATAAAAGTTATGCATAATTATATACATTATAAAATTTTGACGAAGAATATCTTGTGCAATATAGATCATAAAGAAATATCGAAGAAAAAAACGTGGATTTACCATATTCTTTGTAAAATCTCATTTTCCTATAACTATTGTCTCTTTTTCTATGTAGCTGCTCAAGAATTGTAAAATATTATGGAGTTACTTATGTATGTGATTCCATCATCATTCATATGAGATTAAGCAATGTATAAAGCAGAGATTCTTTGCACAGGTTTTTTCCGCTTTACGCACATCACATATCATATATTTTCTTTTGTTTAATTCTACATAGTTAATATTTCTTCTTACATTGTTCTGCTAATTTGTACAATAACAATTTGTATTCAAAGCTACATTAATTTCGACAGTACGTACTTGCTTACATGCAGTATAAAAATATAAATCGTAATGTATTTTACATTTAAATTTACATTATGACATTTAAAATTGGTACTAATGTTACAAAGAGGATAAGATTCAGAGGAACATTTGTAAAATATATAAGCTCACACATATTCTTTAATATGCTGTATGAATAAAAGATTTGATAAATATCGATGGCATAACTTCCGAGCTTATTATATATAGAAAATCTCGATTTAATCAATTGTCACATTACTACGATTTTTTATAGTTTGATACAGGTATCCTAACCTAAGTTTAGAAAACATTATTAGTTTATGTTTAATTTAATTGTTAATGCTTTCGTTGACAAATCGTGATTCATTTATAGATTTATATTCGAATTTTTTTACAATACATTTGTGATAATTTATTTTTTATTATTCTAAGTTAATATAATATGTATATGTACCTGTGTGTGCCACAAGAAATCGTTACTGTTTTAACTGAGACTAACTATCATCGATCGTACATCATTCGTATTTATATTTTATTTCTATTTGTGAAATGTTTTTCCATATTTATATATGGAAATATTACACACTTCTAAGAAAATAGATATCTAAGAAATTATCGAATTTTGCGTATGAGATTTAAATAATGGCAAAGTCTTTACGGAAAGAATATCTATTATTTGCCAATATTTTGTACGGCCCAATATATTATTACATCACTTTGTATAAATTGCTAGTAATAAAGTGGACTTTAGTAGTAATAATTAAAGTCATCGCGCAATAAGAGCGCATTCTCCTAAATATTGTAAGAGAAATGACGATTATTATTTCATAAGAAAGATAATTTAAGTTTAAATACTTCAAATGAGGGAGGTGTAATCTATGATCGGATAACTGAGAACTACTAGATAATAGAAGAGAAAATGGAATAAAGTAAACTGTGTATTAGACTATACTCGCATCGGCATTTTCTTATAGCGATCTTGTATATGTACGTTGTTTATACGATGCGAAATATAAAACAAATATATATGACCAACAGATTGAATGATTTCTTTCCTCTATAATATTGTGCATAAAATATTATATAAACTTATACAATATTTATTATATTATATAAATTATTACATGAATTAATTATTGCAGACTGTATGTCAAATAATTCGAGCATTATTAATTATTAATTAAATTCTTCAACCATTCCCTTTTTCATTAATCTTCTGTATACATTTACGGATATTTTTTATCATTATGATTATTTAGTTAGTAGTTAAATTTATTATTTGTGTAAGATGTATATAT